AGCGTCGTATTGAACTTAGAATAAAATTCTAAGCTGCCTACGTTCCCTCAAAAGAGGGATCATGTCATCATGTAGTTCAATAGAGACATTTTTTTCTTTTCTTTTAGGGAGACAGTTTAAACTTGAATCAAGGAGTTCTTGATTTTTTTTTTTTTTTTTTTTTTTCTTCAGGCGGACAATTTATACTCGTGCCAAGGAGTGTTGTTTTATTTTATTTATTTTATTTTATTTTATTTTTTTTATTTTTTATTTTCTTCTTCAAATAGACAGTTTATACTCATATCAAGGAGTGTCAATTTTTATCAGGTAGACAGTTTAAGCTCTTGTCAAGGAGTATATTTTTTTGTTTGGGAGATAGTTTAAACTTATATAAAGAAGTTCTTGATTTTTTTTTTTTTTTTTTTTTTTTTTTTTTTCCAGGTAGACAATTTAAACTCGTATCAAGGAGTGTCATTTTTTTTCAAGTTGACAGTTTATTCTCGTGTCAGGGAGTATCATGGACAGTTTAGGCTCGTATCTGGGAGCACTTCGACAGTTTAGGCTTGTATCTAGGAGCATCATCGACAGTTTAGGCTCGTATCTGGGAGCATTTTAACTTTAATAATTTTCTTCAACTTTGCAAGAATTAAACGACAATCCAAGCTTATACTGGAGGGCACAGACTATCTCGTCGTCACTTTGAGGATTTTCTTTTTTGGTTTCCTTGACTTAATGCCCCCTGTGATTTTGCACTTTCGGTTGAAATCATTGTTGTAGCATGGTGCGTTTCTTGATGTAAGTCTTTCGAGATGATACTTATAATGAAAGATGAAGCTATTTCGTCATCCGAGTTAGGAAATATATTGTCATCTTCTTCGAACTCACTTCTCTCATCTTTTTGAAGGTTGTCGGATATATCAGGAACATCTTTCCTAGCACCATGATTCTCCATGCTAAGTTCCATGTCATGGGCTTGAGTAACAAGCTCTTTAAATGTGCGAGGTTTAATCCCTTGTAGGATGTAGAGAAGCTCCCAGCGCATGCCTTGCATACATGCTTCAATTACAGAAATTTTAGATAAACGATCCTTGCAGTCAAGACTTAGAGCTCACCAACGGTTGATGTAGTTAACTACGGGTTCACCCTTCATCTATTTTGTATTTGTAAGCTCCAGCATACTTACAATATGACGAGTGCTGTAGAAATGGTTGAGAAATTCTCATTCCATCTGCTCCCAGCAGATGGAATGAGAATTTCTTTAAATGTGCGAGGTTTAATCCCTTGTAGGATGTAGAGAAGCTCCCAGCGCATGCCTTGCATACATGCTTCAATTACAGAAATTTTAGATAAACGATCCTTGCAGTCAAGACTTAGAGCTCACCAACGGTTGATGTAGTTAACTACGGGTTCACCCTTCATCTATTTTGTATTTGTAAGCTCCAGCATACTTACAATATGACGAGTGCTGTAGAAATGGTTGAGAAATTCTCATTCCATCTGCTCCCAACTGTCAATACCTCTAGCTTTGAGGTCTTTGTACCAATCAAATGCATTCCCTTTGAAGAAACGAACGAATTGCTTGACAATGAGATCTCCGTTTGTACCAGCATTGTTGCAAGTTTCTACAAAGTGTGCGACATGTTGCTTGGGATTGCCTTTTCCGTCAAATTGTTGAAGCTTTGGAGGTTGATACCCAATTGACATTTTTAAAATGTCAATTCTTTCTGTGTAAGGCTTTGAGTACATGCGAGCACTTTGAGGGACGCCATTGTATTGTTCTCTTATGCAATTCACTATCATGTCTTGAAGTTGTTGGACAGAAAGTAAGGTAATAGAGGCAGCATCAGTTGTTGGATTGGTGGAAATGTCATTTTGATCATCAATTGGAGTGTTTTCTAGCATGCAATTAGAATGAGGAATTCAGCCTTTTGCTTGACTCAGCATTGTCGTCACGCAATTTTAACTTTTCTGTCAGCGAGTTAATTTTTAGATCTTGCTCCTTGAGAGAGTGTTGTAATATTTCAATTGCACGAGCCATAGTCGTCAATTGTTCTTCATACAAGGTAGTACTTGTCATTATGACTGGCATAGTGATGGAGTCAGAAAAAATCTTTGGCTTTGGGTGGGCTAGCCTTGAACTTGTGACTAGAGTAACCTTTGAGGTTGTAGGAACCTTCTTCCTTTTCCCTAATAAGGTGGAACTTGAACTTGTGACTGGAGCAACCTTTGAGGTTGTAGGAACCTTCCTCCTTGCCCCCAGCGAGATGAAGGCGGTATGAGTTTGAGTTGTTACTTCTTTGGCAGAATTGACTCTCATCGCATCGTGCTGTCTTTTGGCAGGAACGGATGATTTGACCATGCTCCACATCATTGAACTTGCAGAGGTGTTTGTACCACTTGATGAAGTTGCAACCTTCTTGCCACCTTTTATGATGGTATTGATGTTGTCCATCATGACCGCGATGTCTTTGGTGGTGTTCTTGCTTTTCGTCTGAATCTTGTTGAAAGTCATAGAATCTGACGATAAATTTGCTAAGGATTTGATGTAGGAGAAAGAGATGAAAGGCAAAGGAGGTCCCACTGGGCGTGCCAGAAATTTGTACACACAAATTTTGTTCTCTGCAAATAGAAACAAAATATGGGCAAAATACAACTTTTATTAATCTGTGAATTTGGAGTACAATCCTTTGTAATTATCTTTACAAAAAGAATGGTCCTTTGATTCAATCTCCTTTTTGTTGTTGGTTGGATCCAAGGGCTGCATGAACTTGTTCTTGAATCGCCGTGGAATTTGGATGAGGAACAGCACGATTTGATGTGTTTGTTGTTGATCACCGCTGAATTTGAAGAAAACGGGCACGATTTGATGTGCTTAGTGTTCTTCGCCTTTGAGTTTGGATGTTGGGAATAAGAGCTTCTGTATTTCTCTCTGCAATTCTGGATTTCTGAATTCAGAATTTTGTTGTCTGAATTTCTGGACATTTGAATTCTGAATTTGTGTCCTTTATTGAATTTAAGGAAGAACGGCACATCTTTGGATGTGCTTGTTGTTCTTCGTCTTCAGAGATGAGAGAATTTGTTGAATTTGGTGAAGAACGGCACGACTTCAAATGTGGTTGGTGTTCTTCGCCTTCAGGTTTGCCTTTGGGATTTCTGGCCTCTTGATTTCTGATTCTCTCAATTTCTGGACCTTCTGGATTTCTGGACTCTGGATTTCTATTTCCTTCCTTCTTCTTCCAGGCATCTATTTATAAGCTTCTTGGATCCATAGGATGATGACATGTGTCATCTTCTGATAAGGATAAAATAATAACTGGCCAGGCCGGTTATATTATAATAATTATCCTTAAAAATAATTATTCCAAATATATTTTATTAAGAATAATTACCTTTTTATTTAACCATCTAGGCTGAGCTAATCAAATAATTTAAGTTGACCAAACTTGGGCCAATTAAATAACTTAATTGAACATTATGCCCATATTTAACGGGTCCATTTGTCAAAATCAAAACTCACTAAAATTTTAGTGTCTACACTTAACACCATCACCAAGCCCCTGTGGAGTCCTAATTTATCAGTGAAGAAAATTGACATTCTTTGTGATATAAGAAAGAAGAGTAACAACTGACGAGGGCATAATAGAAAATTATAGTACAAGGATACAACTTTCATGTAAAAACTATTTTTTTTTTTTTTTTTTTTTTTTTTTTTTTTTTTTTTTATGGATGAAACATTTTGAAAACAATCAATTAATTGTGATATATTTTTTTCTAAAAATTTTATTTCTTTTATTAATTTATACTAACCAAACGAAACCGTAGAGAAAATGAGTGTATGAATTTTTTTCCAATGAAAAATAAAATAAAATGAAAGGAGATATCGTACTATTGACATTATAGATAAGACTTGCATAGTGTATGTATCTAATGTTAAAAATACAGAGGTAAGTATAGTAAAGGCGTCACTATCTCAAACTGTTCCACTGATCTACCCAAAGTGACAAGATATGATTCTGTATAGTAAAAGCATACCTATCTCAAATGTGTTTCACCCAAAGTGCCATTATCAAAATCGTCCCTCTTTGAAGTTAGGAGTGATCCACAGCCTGCCTTAAGCATGCATAAATTAAGCAACTAAATACAATCTCAAATAATTTTAAAATAGTAATTAGGATCATTTAGGAAAGATGGATACATTTAAGAGGGTATATATCACGAATACTCATTGATGCCTCATCAATACTTTTAAAACGTATTTATAATTTTAAAATATATTTTTTAATTTATAACACATATCAAATACTTCTTACTATATATTCTATACTTCTTGAATACTTCATAAAAAAGCAAAAAAATAAAAAATAAAAAAAAATAACAGCATAATATAATTGTTAAAAAAATTCAAATTTTATTAAGTGACTAGGGATATTTGTTTTATTTGTTAGGAAATGAATTTTATGTTAGGTTTATGATTGTATTTAGATTCATAAGTTTTTTAAAAATTGACTAAAATTAAATATATATATATATATATATATATATATATATATAAATAAAATTTATTAATTATATATATATAAATAAAATTTATTAATTTTTTATTAGTATATCTTGCCATACTCGTCTCCTCTTTTTTTGGGATTTGTTGTATTGTGTCGTATTATATCCCATATTGTGGTTCATCATAAATCTTATTAATTCTATAAATACAAATTCAAAAGAGAGTAATAAAAAGATAAAAACACAAATAATAAAAATATATTTTTTATTCTATTTTTAATTAAAAAAATAAATAAACAGGATCAGTTAAAAATAAAAAATATTTTGATTATTTGACTAACTGATAACAAATTAAAATTTATTGACAAAATAAAAAAATAAAAAGAGAAGAAAATAAAAAAAAATTAAAAAAAAAAAACATTTTACACTCATAAAGGACAAAATAGTCCTTTCACCTCATTTACTCTGGCTTCTAATTCACGCTTACAACTTCTGTATATAATATTTGTAGCCCAGAGAGCAATGCCCAAACTCCTCCATCACAACCGCTTGTGAACTCCTGAAAATTGTAAAAGTCGGCGCCCTCTCAATACTCGGATAACCCCTCTTACATTCCTCCGAAAAACCCTAATTTTTAGTTCTTTGTTTTTGCTCTCTTAAATTCTCGTTCTCACAACCACTACTTATTGCTGAATTCCAAACCCAATCAAATAAGCTTTCGCCTTGTCTTGAATTGATTCCGATTCTTGAATTATCTTACATAATTCAATTCCTATCTCTTGGGTTTTGACTCTCCTTGTATATTGCTGTTGTGTTACCTATCTGCACTAGTAGCTCCTTCGCCTGACTGTTATCCCAATTCATTCACCCTTATAGTTCTGTCTTCTGGTTTTCTTGGATATGCATGATTGACCCCTTGTCTTCTTGTTTTATATGCCCATTGTAGTGCGTTTTAAGCCACTTTCGCTGCTCCTCTCTCCGGTGTGATTCTCAAATTCAAAGATCAAAGATCAAATATTTGAGTATTGATTGATACAGAGCTTTGAAGTCATTTTTTATTTGATTCAGGTAAAATTTATATATTTTAATTCCATGGTTTTTATTTTTATTTAATATAAGTTACGGCATTGATTTTCAAATTTCTTTCCCTTTAGCCTTGATTTGTTTGATCAAATAAATGAGGAGAATGGAGATACTCCCTTCAGTGCAATATTTTTTTTCTAAATATATATTTATTTTTATATGCTACAGTATTGTGAATTGGGCTTTTTGAATTTATTTATTTTTTATGTGTTAAAGTTGTGATTGATAGACAATTTATTTATTTATTTATTATTATTAATTTTTATTTTTATTTTTATTTTTTTTGTGATTGGTTGTAATGGTTCTCCGACAATCACTGAAGGGAGTGTCCATCTGTTGCTAGCACTCTGAATATAAGTTATATGGGTTATTGGGTTTGTACATGATTTTTTATATTTTATTCCAAATAAGGAGTTCTTGCATTCTGGTCTTTTTTCAAAGTTGCTTTACTTATGTTGGTCGATAGAAAAAGAAAAAGAAGAATTGATTTAGTTAAGTATAGACTTTTTTTTGTTGAAATCATCGGTGTAAAAAACACTTTGGCTGATTTTGTGTTCTATGCAGTCATTTTATGTATTTAATCTTGCATTATTAATGCTTGTTTGTGGTGCTAATATATTACAAATTTTTTTTGCAGTGATTCATTACTTTTGTTGCTGTTCATTGCTGGAGAGACACTGTTTTGGTCATTGCAATCAACACTGGGATTCAATTTGGAAATTTGAACTGTGCTCATCTTCAGTCCTTGCAGTTCCCCACTGCTGTTGCTACTGAAAATATAGCAATGAAGAAACTGAATAACAAAATTCCCCTGAAACGAATTGAGAGTAACTCAAGGCTGGTATTATCTGAATTTGGTCAGCCAATGTCCAAGTATAATGGATGTGAGGGCAGGAATAAATCTAAGAAGTATGGAAATAGTTCTGATGATAACATAAAATTTGATTCTGCTCATAACTCAAAGGTGAAATCTTCAGCATGGGCCTCTTGCAAGCGTGGACCGCCAGGGGTTGTAGACAGTCGAGTTGAAGAGGCGGAAGATGGATTGGAGTGTGACAGAACAGTGTTTTGGCATTCTAGAAGAATTGATGAATCATCAGAATGGGTGGGTTTTTTAATCAGCCAGTGGATCCTCAGAAATTGAAGATTCCCGATTATTTTTCTATAATTTCGGAACCCATGGATTTGGGAACAATAAAAAGCAAATTAGAGAAGAATGTTTACTTTAGCATTGATGAGTTTGTGTCTGATGTGAGGCTGACCTTTTCCAATGCCATGCTGTATAAACCTCCTAAAAATGCAGTCCATGTCATGGCTAAAGAACTAAATGACATTTTTAACACAAAATGGAAATATTTGGAGGCAAAATGGAATTGTGCCACCACAAATATTGAGTCTAAGAGGTTGATGCCATCCGAAGAAAAGAAAATGTCATCTGAAGAAAAGAAAAATCTTAGAAGAAAGTTTGTGGAAGTATCAACGGGAAAGATGCCTCGGCAGTTGCACTGTTTTCTTCAAAAGTTTGGTTTCAGCTACCAGAAAGTAGAGAATATCAAAGTGGATGTTAATGCTTTAGATGATGAATCTTTCTGTGAGCTGGAAAGATTGATGAGAAGCTGTTTGGATGCAAGAACTACGAAAGTAAGTAATTTCCATGGTACTGCTAGCAAACTTTTTATGGGTGTGTAGCTTAGTTTAACACAAATGAAAAGCATTCTCAAAATTAAATTCTTCAAAACTTGAAGTTTTTTGCTTGCAATCTCATTTAAAGTTTTAAACCATTGGCAACTGATTTTGCCAGACAATTATTGATATTTAACATTAAGGAGTGGTACATCACAGGGTAAAAGTTCAAAAATTTAGGTAGGAGTTCTAAACACGTTTTTACCTCCAGTTTTATGCTTGATCTATGATTGTTGTCTAGAACAGGATAGTTTTTTGAAGCGGTTAAATTTGTTGATTCTTTTTTTTATTCTTTTTAAATTTCTAATTCTTTTAAACTAATCTCTATGTAATACAAAGTTCCTAAATTTTGGTTCTCTTCCATTATTGTGTCTTTTTTCAACTCTTCATAATTAAAGTCTCTGTGCAAATTTTCATTCCTATCCTCTATTTCAATTCAGATTAGGTGATTCCATCATTGTGGGTTTTTTTTTTTTTTTTTTTTTTTTTTTAATAAATAAAAAAAAACTCTAATCAAGTATGTACATCAAATTTTCACATCACATAAATTTTGGAGTGCAAAAATATGATGCTATCATCTAGTGATTAAGAATTCGTATAATATTCAAATGTGAGGTGTTGCTCATTAAGCTTATTCTGTCTAATCCTTCAGGCTGGCAAAGCTTATCAGGTTAAAATGCATCAAGAAAAGGAAAGACTTGAAAGGCTGCAGGATAAAGGTGATTATAAACTCCATACTATTCCATGGACAAAAGGCTGCAAGTGTTATTAATTTTTGTTTTAGATAAATAAGTTTTTGTTCATCACAATAGGTTCATTGATGTCAAAATCTAACGTATATTTGAACTTGTAATTGATTGTTTACAGTTAAGGGCAGAATTGAATCCCAAATCGGAGCTGATAAAGCTGTTTCACAAATGATAGCAAAAGCACGGAAAATGATGCGGGAGAGAGATAGAGAAGCTGCCCGACTTTCTCTTCAGAAGGTTTGTGTTTGTTTTATTGTGTTTAAAATTTTTTCTCACGTACACTCTGAAGTTGTTTCTGAGCTACTTAAAAAGAAATTAACTTGTCTCCTTCCCCCTCATTTCAGATGGAGAAGACTGTCGAGTTTGAGGACAATTTGCAAATTGTCAAATACCTTGGGAATCTAGATGTATTTGGATCAAAGAAACCATTGGAGGATTTGGGTTTGTTTCTTAAGAACGATGATTTCTACGAGGAGGAGGAAGTGATTGATGTAGAAGAGGGAGAGATCTTGGCTTTAGTTTCAAACCAAAACAGCTACCATAGGTCCACAGTGAAGTTTGATATTGTATAATGTAATGAAGCCATTGTTTACTACTCTAAAAGAAAAAATTTCTGTTGCAGAGGCTAAAGATTGCTTTTATGTACAGAAAGATTGCCCATGCTCATCATAGAGGCCTTAAAGGAAGATGGGGTATGGACTTATTGTTTGTCTGATGTGTTTATGCTCTTGATCACATCTGATCTGACTTAAGTTTTGCAGTTTTGTATAGCACTAACCTGATAGTTTGTAACTTTGTATTGCCACTGCAATGCAATTTTTTGGTGCTGCTTTGGCTAGAAGGTGGTGTTATTTTTGCTTTTGCTAGGACTTTGCCTCTTTGGTCAGTTCCTAGTTGTTAGATTGGCGTCATGTGCCTTGTTTGTACACTTCATTTATAGAAAATCATTGCAATAATAATATCCTTTCATTACACATTTATAGAAAATGTGAGTCACTTGTTCTTTGGATTTACTCATTGTGTTTAATGCTGATGTCTCTTCTGCTACTAAAGTTAGGGAGGTGTTAAGCATGTTCCAGATGACAAGCTAATATTGGAAACAGGTTATTAGTCCCAAACTGAGGGGGGGCTTGGGCTGAGATTTATTGCAGACATTCAAAAGTCATTTGTCTGCTCAAATGTCTATGTGTTCCTTGTGTCTCAATGCTGTAGATTCCAGGGACAATTTATTTGTTGATTGCCCTTTTACTGCTGCTACTGTTTGGACTTGGCTGGCTCATCTCTTCAACTGGGCATCTTCCTTCCTGCGGCACATTTACTAAATTGTTGAATTGGTTCTTGCTATGTACAATGGATGGCTCTTGCAGATCCAAGTTTTGACAGAATGATCTTTACTACTGTGTTGTGGGCTGTGAGGAATGAGGGAAACAGGAGGTATCATCAAGAGGTATGCAATTCTCCAACTGAGGTTGCTAAAGCTACTTGCTATTTAGTCATTGATGCTGTTGAGCTTAATTTTTAAGATGTCTTTATGCCCTTCTGGTGGCACGATTGATTTTATGGGATTGTTTTGCCATGGCTGGGCTTCAGCTTTGTGACTACTCTTTCTTCTCCACTTTTCATTAATGTGCTTAGCTTTTTCTTCTTATCTGTTTTCAAGTTCTAGTTCTCTATGTACTGGAATTGGACCTTTTCATTTATGTGCTTAGCTTTTTCTTCTTATATATTTTAAAGTTCTAGTTCTCTATGTACTGGAAATGGACCTTTTCATTTACTTGGATTTGTTTTGAGGTTATTCCCTCGTGTCTTTATGTACTTTTGTGGTTCTTTTTCTAATAAAATCAACCCCATTCAAGAAAAAGAAAATGTTAATGATAGCAATCTGTTAATTTGATTTTGACTTTAGTGACTTGAATGGTGAGGAGTGCCCTGTTGCCTGATGGTCTGTGTCCCAATCTGTTAATCCAATTGGGTGCATGTTACTTTTTAAATTACTAAGTGACTTAATCTTGCATCATAAATGGTAGTATTGCTAGGATAAGAATAATCTAAAGTCATACTAGGAGACTCCATGTAATTCGCAGATTGGGAACCTATTGAAGAGTTTAAAATTCTACTGAGGACTTGTGAGAGGATGTAGTTCAAAGATGAGTATCAATGGAGGCAGTCCAGGTGCATTAATTGTCGGGTTTTTGGGCATGATCAAAAGAACTGTTCGGTGTTAACTTGTTAACTTCCAACAGTGAGGAACCGAGTGCAGGTGAAGGTAATATGGGTATTATTGTAAGGATTGGGGAGAATCAGATGGGGGTTTATCAAAGTCAACAAGGGATTGTTTAGAACAGATATCAGATCCTTGAAAGTGTCAGGAGGAGGTACAAGAAAAGGACGTGACAGTTCAATACGGGGATGTGGAGGGGGGAAGTTCTACAAATTGAGTTATCTATCCACTACTAACAAATGTGATGTTGTGTGTGAGCAGAAAGGAGATGTTTGTGTCCCTCAGAAAGTGTTGTTGGAATTTAATGAAGCTGAGCTGAGCTCACTAATGTGCCTATATGTAAATGGTATATGGACTTGGTGTCATAGGCAAGAAAATGGCAAAAGAATATATGCAAATTGGACAGGGGTTTGATTAATCAAGAGCGGTTGACAACCTTCCTGAATGCTAAAATCTTCTTGACAGCTGCTGCTGTTTCTGATCATTATGCTATGGTGCTTCATACATCTGATCAGGTAGCCTCTAAACCGAAACCTTTTTAATTTCTTACAGTTTGGTGTTATCAAGATGGTATCACCGAGGCAATAATGCATGCTTGGATTGAAGAGGTAGATGATTATGTTTCATGGGAGTTTCTGTTCATTATTCTCGAGGCTTTTGGATTTGGGTGCAGATGGATTAACTAGATGAAAGAGTGCCTGTGAACGCTGCTTGGTTTTCTGATCTTATAAATGGCCGAGTACTTTTCATCTACGGTGCAGTGGGAAGTGAATAATGGCGGATTTCACATTAGTGATGCTGCAAAGCTGAATGATTTGTGCTTTACTCACTACTTTTATGCAGACTTGAATTGATCAGGTTTGTGAACTATTCCATTGTTCATTATTGGAGTAATGCTTTTAAATTGCTATCTACAGTCATTTGTGTGATTGAGAAGTTGCTATCTAGGGAGGTAAAATTAACTCTTAAGAGGGTACCTTCTGAAGTGAATTTGGCTTAAGAAGGCTATGTTTGGCTGCATGGAATAGGATTTGCCTTGTACATTTGGACCGTCCATCCATGTAATACACGCGTGTATTACATGCATAGTGATAAACGATTGGATGTAATTTAATACACGCACAGTGATAAACAGTTGGATGTAATTTTGTGTTGTGGGATAGTTTTGTGCCTTAAGCTCGAAAAATTGGTAAAATAGAGTAGTAAAAACTTGCATCAAACAAGTTTGAACTGTAAAAACAAAATGAGAAGATCAAGTATGAACCCAAAAGGTTTTTAAAATAATACTGATGATTTAATCAAAATCCAAACAAGACAATAAACAAATTTTTACATCTTTTAAATCCATGAATTATTCAAACATCTGTCAAAGTCATATATATTCCTTTACTTTTCATATTATTACTTACACTTGTTTGAATAATTCATGGATTCTCAAAGATATATGTTCAAACGAGAGAAATACCAAATTGAAGGTTTAAAAATCAACTTTACAACTTCTAATTTTGATGATGTAAAAATAAAACTGAATACTTGAAGTGTAACTATAGAAGATGGAGAATTAAGAGGTACAGAAAATAAACATTTTTGCTAGATATGTAATAATTGAATCAAGGTTAAATGCAGCATCCCCTGTTGCATCTAGCCTGATGTACTAATTAGAGATTTTTCTTAAATAAATAAGAGATCACCTGATGTCACCAATAACAAACCCAAAGTATCAATTACAAAATACTGTTATATGGACATCATGATGCATAATAGCTTCCAGCCTTCCACAAGTTCCAAGTTCATTGGATATACATTTAACTTGGCTACCAATTCCAATTGTTCTGCTATTCTCTGCTTCTGCGTATAATAGCCATTGTTTGTTTCAAATGGTCTGAACATTCATTGTTAAGCCACTTTGAAAATATATACAGTACTATTAGATGGATGGTTGACGGAGTATTTTCATAGATCTACACAAGAAGAAATCCATGTAACAACATATTAGACAGCTAATTAATCACACAATTATAATCTTATTATATGTTGAAAAGTAAAAATAGATCCACTACTTACCCGATCATTAGCCATTTTGAACAAATGCATAAATGCCATCGGAAATGTAAGAGGGCATCTATCTTCCAGATGAGGACCAGCCTGCATTGACAACCTGCCAACTTCCTTCAGTTGCTCACGAGCTGAAGGATTGAAAAAAACAATCTCATTCACACGATTCACCAACTCGAACCTAAACCCTCTTTTTTCCTCCTGCTAAATGAACCAAAACATACAGGAGAGAGTATTGAAAACGACAATAAAACATGATGAAGCAAGTAATATCCAAGTTTTTCCACTATCAAGATTCAAGACCACCACTACTTTGTTGGTTTCTATATATTTTACCTGCTGCTCGGTAGCGCCATCCCCAACACTACCTTGATCAGGATGCCCAACAAGTCGCGAAAGAATTGCCTTGTTTCCCAGGTCCGTGGCAAAAATAACAATAGTGTTTCTGAAGTCTACTGTATGTCCTCCATCGAATTTTAATTTATGACCATCAAGGATCCAAAGTAGAGCACTGAAAACGGACATGGGAGCCTTTTCTACCTGAGAAAAGAAAAGGATGCTGTGTGGCCTCATTCTGATGGCCTCTAAGAGTGAGAAACCACATTGCTCATGGCCACTATACCAGTATACCACAAAAGTGATCAGTCACACGGTAACAATAGAATGAAACGTACATACAAGTAATTTAAACATTTCAGACAACCAAATGACAATACAAGGAATCTTACTATGGAAGTTCCAACGGTCCATTTAAGAACTGCAAAAATGAATCTGATTCTGTGTATTTAGGCAAGTCAATTCGAATAAGCAGGTTCATCCCACCATCAGCGACAAGAAGGTTGGCAAGACTGCCTACTAGATCTGCTTCACCAGCTCCCGTGAGACCCGAGAATAGGAATGACTTAGCAGGTCTATGTGGCTTATCAATAGAATTCAATAGTGTCTCTACTACAACATCAATTGCCTGATGTTGTTGTCCTACCACATTACTCAATTTCATCCGAAGTCCCTGCACTCCACTCTTTGGCCTTTCTATCGGCGTAAGCTGAAGTTCCTCTTTTAAGGATTTCAAATGCCCCTACTACAAGAAGAGATTGAAAAAGAAGAATGAAAAGCAGGATACTCTTGAATCCAATAAATAATTCATGTGATTTCAATCAACCGGAAAGACCAGGTCCTATAAGTACATACCTTTTTGCACATATTGGGCATAAAGGAATCTTCAATTGCATTTTTTTTAAGATCGTCTAATATCTTAACCAGCTCTCGAGCAACCACTGCAACAGAGTCCAAATCTGCTCTAGCCTCTGCATCTTGTAAATTCATCAGTTTGAACAAATTTCTGCTTAACAAGTAAATCATGTTGACTCGTTCTTTCTGTTGGGATTTATATGCCTTGACATAGTAAATTCCTACTTGGATTATAGTGACATATGTGTCGGAAACGGCATTAGAAAACGCAAACTTTGGAAGAATTTTTAAAAAGATTCCGCTAAGAATTTTTTGCGAATCTATTGACGAGCGCGTTCCTCTCTGCGAGAAGATGAACGTGGTATATTTATTTTCTCAAATCCGTTTCCGGGTGAATGAGAAATTGGCTCCAAAGTAAGTGATTTATAAAGCCTAAATGGGTGTGAATAAAGTGGGAAATGCTTGTCCCACATCGAAAAAGTAGCAAAACAACCTTGAGTATATATATGTCTAGTATGGGATTTGGGTTTAGGCCCAAGGGCACCCAAGTTTTTAAGAAGGGGAGGACCTAGGCTAGCCTGGATCCGAACCAACTACCACCCGCCCAGTCCGAGGCGGGGCTTGATTGGGATGGGCCTGTGTGATTGTAATTTTATTTTGTTGCTGGACTTATCAAAATGGGCCTGTTTACTAGGCTGAATTAATGGCCGAGTTGGATTATTTGCTTGCTGGACTGGACGAAATTAAAGGGCTGGGCTGGATCAGAATTAAAAGGATTCAATTTTAATTTTGAACCAAGAGTTGCACCCTTTACAAATTAAAAACCACCAACAGATTTTTAATTCTGATTGGTCAACAATGGTTGCACCCATTCAGAATAGGCACCAACAAGCCTATAAATACCCATCATTGGGTTCATTTCAATTCACACCGATTTCAGAAATCTTCTGAATTTCTTCTTCTAATTCTTCTTTGTTCGGTTCAGCCACTGGTTGGGTTCAACCTAAACTGGTTTGGATTGGGTTCGAACCTTGGTTTCCAAGTTTCGGTTCAATCTTGGTCTCCGAATTAGGGTTCAATCCTGGTCTCCGAGTCTGAGTTCAACAGAGAGTACTACACCGAGTCGGTTCGCCTATTCCATTGGTTTGAAGTGCTACTACCAAAGGAAGAAAAGTCGTTGTATCCTAGGAGATAGACGCCGAAGAGTCCGTTAGCACCGTAGCGGGGCGTATCTGTCTTAAGGCTATAGAATTAAATTCTAGCCTCGACTTTATCAGGTTCTTTTATAGTTTTATTTTCTTGATATTAAACTATATAAATATATATATAGATTATTATAATAAATATTATATTTACAAATAATATTTAAATAAATTATACTATAGTATATGATACATTATTTTTCCAACAATCTTAAGACAGATATCTTTATACTATAGTAATAATTATTTAATTATTATTCTTGTTATAATTATTATAATTTGACTCGTGGTCTGTATATCAATATATAACAGACAAATGGCAAGTACAAGTATTACCGTGCCTAATGTTCCCGTCAGTCATGGGGAGAAGCCCGAAAAATTCAACGGGACAGAGTTTAAAAGGTGGCAACAGAAAATGATGTTCTACCTTACAACTCTGAATCTAAGCAAGTATCTGACTGAGACTACTCCAGTGTTAGATGAGGGTGATACAGACATTACCAAGTTTGGAGCTGTTGATACATGGAAGCATGGAGACTTCATATGCAAGAACTACATCCTCAATGGATTGAACAACACCTTATATAATGTGTACAGTCCAATAAATATTGCTAAAGAGCTTTGGGAGTCGTTAGACAAAAAGTATAAAACAGAGGATGCTGGATTGAAGAAATTCGTGGTTGGACGATTTCTGGACTTCAAAATGATAGACTCCAAGACAGTCGTGAGCCAAGTGCAGGAGTTCCAGCTAATCCTACATGAGATACATGCTGAGAAGATGACATTGAGTGAATCCTTTCAAGTAGCTTCAATCATTGAAAAGCTGCCACCTACTTGGAAAGATTTCAAAAATTACTTGAAGCATAAGCGCAAGGAAATGGGGCTCGAAGACTTAATTGTCAGGCTGAGAATTGAAGAAGATAACCGTACATCTGAAAAGAGAGCCGGAAATTCTTCAATGGTGTCAAAGGCAAATGTAGTGGAAGCAGGACAGAAAAATAAGAAGAGGAAGCACTCTGGAGAAGGTCCTAGCCAAGGAAACTACAAGAAGTTCACTGGGAAGTGTTTCATATGCGGCAAGTTAGGACACCGAGCTAAAGATTGTCATAGCCGCAAAACACATCATAACCCCAAGAAGAAGACCACTGAGGTGCACATAGCTGAAGAAGATAAGTTGACAGCTGATGTATCAGAGTTAAATCTTTCAGCTGTGGTTTCTGAAATCAACCTGGTAAGCAACAACAGAGAATGGTGGGTGGACACAGGAGCTACTCGTCATGTTTGCTCTGAAAAGAGGATGTTCACTACCTATGAAACTATAAATAATGAAGAACAACTCTACATGGGGAATTCTTCTACTGCAAAGGTTGAAGGACAAGGAAAGATCAAGCTACTAATGACCTCAGGGAAAGAGCTCACTCTTAATAATGTGCTGCATGTACCAGACATCAGGAAGAACTTGGTCTCTGGGTCATTACTAAGCAAGAATGGGTTCAAGCTGGTCTTTGTATCTGATAAGTTTGTGCTGACTAAGAATGGGGTGTATGTGGGCAAAGGGTATCTAAGTAATGGACTATTTAAGTTCAATGTAATGACTGTTGTACCCAAAGCTATTAATGATAATAATAAAGCTAGTGCTTCTTCTGCTTATATTATTGACTCATCTGATGTATGGCATGGTAGGTTAGGATATGTTAATTATGATACTATTCGTAGATTAATTAACATGGAATCTATACCTAAATTTAATATTGATTCAAATCAAAAATGCCAAACATGTGTAGAAGCAAAATTAACTAGAACCTCATTTCACTCCATAGAGCGAAGTACTGAACCTCTAGCATTAATTCACAGTGATATCTGTGACTTTAAATCTGTGCCAACTAGAGATGGGAAAAAGTATTTCGTTACTTTTATTGATGACTGCACAAGATATTGTTATGTATACTTGTTAAGAAGTAAAGATGAAGCCTTGGAAATGTTTAAACATTACAAGAATGAGGTTGAGAATCAACTTGGAAAAAAGATAAAGATGTTTAGAAGTGATAGAGGTGGTGAATACGAAATACCATTCGCTGACATTTATTCAGAACATGGTATTATTCACCAAACTACTGCTCCTTATTCACCTCAACAGAACGGTGTTGCTGAACGCAAAAACCGTACCTTAAAAGAAATGATGAATGCTATGTTGATAAGTTCTGGTTTAACCCAGAATTTGTGGGGGGAAACTTTGCTCTCTGCTAATTATGTTCTCAACAAGGTACCTCAAAAGAAATCAAATGTGACACCTTATGAATTATGGAAAGGTCAAAAACCTTCTTATAAATTCTTAAAAGTGTGGGGGTGTTTAGCTAAGGTTGCGGTTCCTACTCCTAAGAAAGTTAAGATAAGACCAAAAACCTTTGATGGTATATTCATAGGCTATGCACAGAATAGTAGTGCATATCGTTTTCTTGTGCATAAATCAGACATTCCTGATATCCATGTCAATACAATTATTGAGTCAAGGAATGCTTATTTCTTTGAGGATATATTTCCATGCAAAAATCCTCTTAAAAGAAATTATGATACTGCTAATAGCAATATACAAAAGAATATAGACCAAGAGTCTATAGATGATGAAAATGAGGAAGAACCTAGACGTAGCAAAAGAGTTAGAACGTCTAAGTCATTCGGTCCTGACTTTCTGACATATATATTGGAGAATGAGCCACAAAGCTACAAGGAAGTTATGTCTTCTCCTGAAGCTAATTTATGGAAAGAAGCCATAAATAGTGAAATTGAATCCATCATGCAAAATCATACTTGGGAGCTGGTGGATCTTCCTCCTGGTACTAAACCTTTAAGGTATAAGTGGATTTTCAAGAGGAAGATAAAGCCTGATGGTTCAATTGAAAAATATAAAGCTCGACTTGTTGCTAAGGGATATAGGCAAAAAGAAGGCTTGGATTATTTTGATACATATTCACCTGTCACAAGAATAACATCCATTAGATTGTTACTAGCTATTGCAGCATTGTAAAACTTAGAAATACATCAAATGGATGTTAAGACTGCCTTCTTAAATGGTGAATTAGAGGAGGAAATCTATATGGAACAACCTGAAGGGTTTATAGTTCCAGGGAAAGAAAAGAAGGTGTGCAAACTTGTAAAATCCTTATATGGATTAAAACAAGCACCTAAACAATGGCATGAAAAATTTGACAAAGTGATGTTGTCAAATGGTTTTAAAATTAATGAGTGTGATAAATGTGTGTATGTGAAAAACACTCAAAATGGATATGTCATTGTGTGCCTATATGTGGATGATATGCTAATAATGGGTAGTAATGATGTTATAATCAAAACTACTAAAAAGATGTTAACCAAAAATTTTGATATGAAAGATTTAGGCATAGCTGATGTCATACTAGGAATTAAGATTTCTAGAACATCAGATGGTCTAGTATTATCTCAATCTCACTATATTGAGAAAATATTAGAAAAGTTTAATAAAGGGGATAGTAGTCTTGTAAAGACTCTTGTTGATGTAAATCTTCATTTATCGAAAAATACTGGTCCTAGCATATCACAACTTGAGTATTCTCGCATTATAGGAAGCTTAATGTATTTGACGAATTGCACACGACCAGACATAGCATACTCAGTTAATAAATTGAGTAGATATACTAGTAATCCAGGAAAGAACCATTGGACTGCAATAATTAGGGTTCTAAGGTATTTAAAATATACTATAAGTTATGGATTACATTATTCTAGATATCCAGCAGTACTTGAAGGATACAGTGATGCTAATTGGATATTAGATACAAAGGATTCTAAATCCACAAGTGGCTATGTCTTTACTATTGGAAGAGGTGCCATATCTTGGAAATCTTCAAAACAAACTTGTATTGCCAGATCCACTATGGAATCTGAATTTATTGCTTT